CACACACACACACACACACACACACACACACACACACACACACACACGTTAGTATGAAAGAAGTGAAGTGCTATTCTGTAGCTTTGTAGCTACGGGGGTGGGGGGGTGGAGTTGTGAAGGGGGGGCGCCCTCCTTTGATAACCGTAGGGGAAACACTGATGTGTATAACTTTAGGCAACTATGTTTTCTAGTTTTATTTTTGATTAAAAATGTAGTTTCCTCAAATGACCGGTGTGGCTGAAGATTAATCTGTGGTAGAGCGATCATTTCTAACCCGGGCCCACAGTCTGGGCCGGGCCAGGCCATGATGATGTGCTGGATGGACAAGCTGGGTCTGCGTCGGGCGTTAGCAGATCAGCCGCGATCCAATTATATGGCAACATGGCTTGCCATACAGTCACCAGCTGCACATGGCCATTTCACCGCGAGCTGACTGGCCTTGAAAGAAATAAAATAAAGTTCAGTTACGCTTCAGATGGGACTACCGGTACTACCAGGAAGCGATCCGTCACCCAATTGGACGTTCAGCCACTGCAGTCAGCGGACGTGCGCAGCCGACGACCCAAACAGGTGAAATCCCAAAGCAGACATGTCAGAGCAGGGTCCATGTCTGAATAATGCAGAATACAGGCAGAAGCAGGGGTTTAATGTGCTTTGCACAAGCACCCCTTCAGATCTGATCTTCTGCCCTCTTTTATTCAGCCGTGCACGTCCGCTGGCCGTTAATAACTATATAAGCAGTCAAAGCTTAATTAAAAATGTTTTCGGGTTCTGACCTGTAATCACTGTTAATTCGTCAGGTCGGGTGGGGTTCGGAAATGATGGCTACGGGCTGGGGCCAGATCGGATCAGATTTGTTGGGCCCGACTGCAACTTGAATAATCAATGGTGGCCAAGGCCACCATTGGCCACCCCCTGGTTCCACCACTGCATCTGGTCGATCACCAGGATCCGTCACTCTGCACCGCCTAGAACAAAGAAAATGACCTCTGGTCTTCTCCACCATGTAACTCCTGCCCACTTGAATATCTCTCATCAAAAACATTTAGGTTTACTTCATTATCTGCTCAGTTTCAGTCCAGAAAAACACTCATCTCAAAAAAATACAAACTTCACTTTTTAAATCTCGTCGACGGGGGACGTTGGGGTGATCTTTGATATTTTCAGGTCTCTCTTGTAAACGAGTCCCCGAGGCTCATTGGGATTAACCTGTCTAAATAAAGGTTGAAAGATTTGGTATTAGATTAAATGTTTATTTCTTAGACTTGATAAATACAACCCCCCCAGCAGTGATGATGGTCAGAAACAGCAGGTCTGTGTACTACCTGGGGTTGACCAGCAGGGGGCAGAGTGTCATCACTGCTTCACCTGGAGGCTCCATGTCAGAACATGTTCTCAGCATCCTCCTCAGACACTGGGCCCAGAAATCCCCTCTGCGTTGCTCAAAATGTTTCCAGGCGACAAACGGGATGTTTTAGGTGTGAAACAAAGCTTTGGAATCCAGAACACGCAGCCGTTACGACGCTCGTTTCTCAGGGAAGTAACTCAGGAAAAGGCCAAAAGCTGAAATCTGCTCTGAAAACCTCTTATTCTTACAACCAGCTGCATGGTGCCTTGTCAAAATGTTACATTTATTAATAAGGCTGCGCATTAAAAACAACAGAAAATGACCAAAGTGTAAAGTTATTCGTCTAAAATAGTTTTTCACAACTTAGTACTTATTATAATTGCACAGTTCGTCCCACTAAATGTCAATACCGATGAAAATTATTTTTAAAATTACATTATTTTGTAAAAATAATTTAATTAAATGCAAAAATTGGCTCCAAAATAAAAAACTCGAAGAGTGGCGGCATGACCGGGGACCCCTCTTCCATCGTGTCCGCCCAGCTCGCGGCTGATGGCCGTCACCTGTTACCACGGTTACAGACAGGCACGGGTCCTGGCTGTTGGTGACCGCCACTCTCATCCTCTTTTCTAGGAATTTTTCAGTGCGGACACGCCTGAGGGTTTGCCAGTGACACTTGCACGTGTTTTGCGCCCATGCGTATGATGCACATAGGGTGACGGTCCCTGCCTGAGATGGAGGCCCCGCGTGACGATGGGCACGGGCGGGATTCAGCCATGACACGTTAACTGTCCGTCTCTAGAGCTAGCCGCGGGGTTAAACAGCTAGGCTAAAACAGCTCGTCGTAACACGTTAGCTGGAAATAAAATCCTAAAGGTACCAAGCTAATGCTACCCCAAAGTAAAGCTAGCTCGCCTGGACGCGTTAGCTTGAGTTACACCAGTAACCGCTGGATTATTTAAAAACTGAGTGGCGGGAACAGCTCGCCTTGACGCGGTCACCGCTCCCGAATGTAACAAAGATACTTTTCACGAAGCACTAACTTACTCAACACGGTTCAAGCTGACGCCAGGAACGGCGTTCGGCGACATGCTCCTTTGCGGGACGCCTGGGAACTGTTTAGCCGCTAACCTAGCTAGCCTGAATGTGCTGAGGGAGCTAGTTGTAGTTCCTCGCGGGAAGAAAGCGAGAATTGACTGTGATGTCATGATGGGGGCGGAGCCCTGAGCTCAACGTCTCTGATAGACATGATGTCATTGGAGCTGGTCGCGCTGGAGCGTTTCCCGCAGTGAAACGCCGAACGAAGTTAGAAAAATAATCCAAACTTTTACAGAATAAACCATTTTTTATTCCCCTCCTTGTTCAGTTGTTCCCTCATAGTTGAGACGTTTTCCTGAGAACCGCCTCCTCCCATCGTGCTGTAATTACAGTAACCATGTTGCTGATTCTTGGGCTCACATTTATTTAATGATAGCCTCCCTCAGCAGAAAGCAATCCGCCGTCCCTCCTCCTCCTCCTCGTGTGGCTCCAGGAGTGAGGATGACATCAATTTCCACTTCCAGGTCCAAGTCAAGCTTTAAGGCAACCCGTCCCTCGTCGGTGGCAGTCGCGCAGGACGGGCCTCCTCCGCTGTCGGCAGCTGCTTCTTTGGACAATCCGCTCGAACAGAAGAGAAACGATGAACGTGGGACTCTTACATCTTTCTCCAGTAACCTGAGTCACCCAGACTGTTTGTGTAAAGAACAATTCCGTTTTCCAGAAACTCTTTGTCCGTTTCATCCGGACCTTTGAGCTATTTTCATTACTGATCTCAGAAGTTGTTTAGGTTCTGTTTGTAAATATCATTTATCTTGTTTGTTTTTTTTAATAAACATTTGAGCCACCTTTTAGTGAGCAGCTATTTTCAGGATTCCTGTTTTTTTTTTTTTTATTACTAATTTCACTTTATTTCATTGAATTGCTTTTGGGTAAACGGTGGGTCCGACAGAGAACGATCCCTTTCAAGCTGTGCCTGAAGCTTCTTCTCATCAGTGGTAGTCACTGTGCTGAGTTGGTGAGTAGGTGCGTCACTGCTGGTTCCGTCCTGGCTGACTTATTAAATAAACGTGAACGACCAAAGGTAGCTTAAAGAGGGACTCATCCCAAACTTAGCTCTCGAGTAGCTTCACGCTCCGTACGCTGTTTGGTGTCATTTAGGTTTAATTGTCACTCAATAAAAACTTGATGTATGTTGAAGTGACTGGAATGAATTTTGCATTGTCAGATAAATGTTTTTGTTTTTAGTATAGTAAACAACAGTTGTCTTCTAGGCTGTTTCAGTCAATGATTAGGAGCTAAAATAAATAAATAACGTTAAGTTCACTGTGAACAGTAACGTTGTTCATCAAATGGACACTAGCTTTTATTTACCTCCAAATAAATCAGTTTAAACGTGTGAACAGGCTTTCTGTTTCTGACTACTGTGATGCTTTGTGGTCTACATATTTACGTCTACATACTTTCTTTTTTTTTTTTTTGGCATCTAATCAAATTTTGTCGTTTGTGTGTTACTCTCTAACTATGGCCTGTTTATCCAACAAACAATTATCAGCGGTGTAAAATAGCAACACAACCAATTTTTAACACGTCCGTACACAAGTCAACAAAAAAATCCGATGAAAAGGTCCGAACTGAATGAATGGCAAAGAATACTGGAAGTAGCTACGAATGTATCTGGACACGAGGTTCCAGAGTTTACTCGCGCACATGGCATCTTTAAAAAGCTCAACGCAAGAGAAGGCGCTAACAAACAAACAAACAAACAAACAAAAACGTACAGCATGTGCGTTTGAACGTGCTCTCTGCTGCCCCCTAGTGGCCAAACGCCACCGTTGATGCGAGCTTCACCTCCGGGTTGAAAGTTTTAATGTAAGTGAACTGATCAAACTAACACAGTGGGAAATGAAGGGGACGGGCACAGATACAAACTGGTCAGAAAGAAATGTAATCTCTGTGGCTCCGACATGTAGAGGCCAGAATGGGTGGAATGGGAGTCCAGCGCACAACAAATGGATGCTGGGAGTTTAATATTTATAAAACTCATGACGTGGTGAGTTGCTGTAAAAGCGAACGCCTGATTAATTTGATTTTCTTGTTCAAGGGGCTGTTGTTGACGAGTCCACTGGGAAAGTTCTTGTGGTCCAGGACAAAAATAAGGTAAGACCTGAAGCTCTCGACCTTTGACCTCTCCAAGTGGCTTTAAGAATCTGTTGGACTCCTGGGATCAATGCGGACACATTCCTGTTTTTAGTTTTCTACATTCGCCTTATAATCTAGATGTTTTTTTTCTGTTTGCCATCTTACTTTAATTTGTTAAAAACTAAAATCTGTATGTCTTTTTTATGATTGTCCGTTGTTGTCCTCATTATTTGTAGAAATCAGGTCTCTCTTGTAAACGAGTCATCGAGGCTCAGTGGGATTAACCTGTAGAAATAAAGGTTGAATGAATGAAAAAGTGTCTTTTATCAGTTCGTACATGTGAACCGTGCGTTGTTACGCTGATGGTCGGCATTTACTTTAATTAAATTAAGATTCCGATGCAAAAATGAGCTTAAGTTCTTGAAGCAAATGTCTAACTTCCCTGTGATCTTTTGAAGCGGTTTTAGAGAAGTTCTGTAGCTGTTCACGTACGGTGTCGTTTATCATCTTGAATTATTTAATTCAGCGTTCAAACATTAAAAAACTGCAAGAACTCAACTGATCAAACAACCGAAAAAACTTTTTCAGAGAGAGGGTCCACGGAAGATACCTTCAAAATAAAACGACATGAAACTTTTACATAGCTTTTCTGAACAAACATCTTATTAAAACAGCTGGATAATCTGATCCCCCCCATGTTACTATTGTAGATTAGTGTGGATTATAGATAAATAGCGTTTTATTTTGACCAGAAATCAGCTCGTGTGTTATTTTAGGCACGTTTCGGTGCCAAGCGTTCACCGCCCTGGCGCCGCAGCTGAACACGTTTTGTTTATTCGGTCTTGTTTGTATTTACACAAACGGAGGTGGACGTTTCCTCAGACGTTCAGCTCCTTGAACCTTCACTGCGAGCGTCATTAGCTCAGTTGAGACAAACGAGCCGTTTACACGAGCAGGCCGAGGCGTGCCGTGCAGCTCACGCTCTTTCAGCTTCCCAAACACCTTCCTGCCTGTTTTCAGGCAGCACGGATGGGATTCACCCACTTTGGGAATGTAGTTACAAAATAAATCTGCCTTATTTTTTAAGTTAATGCTTGTTTTTACAGAGCACAGATAATTAGAGCAGTTCTAAATGACACAAATTTAAAACTGAGTTTTTATACGCCGACGAGAGGCAGATCTATGTTCGTAAACTTTCTCTCGTCCGGTCCAGAACTTGTGATCCGCTCAAGATAATTTAAGGAAACTTCAAATAGGCCTGTCACGATAAACAATAAATCAATTAATGGCATGATAAATGAAAATGATCAACCTCGTTTTCATTTATCGGCTTTATCGTTTCTTCGTGTCTCTTTCTACTGAAGACACTGGATGACAAAAAGCTCAACTCCGGTGCTCGCCACTGACCCCTCCCTTTAGCTTTTCTCTTTCAAATCTGTTTTATCCGTCCATATTCGTGTTTTTGGATCGTTAAAAGCAGCTAAGCTACGAGCTAAGCTACGAGCTAAGCTAACAGGCCGACCTTGAGGAAAAAACCTCGAAGCTCCAAAATTCACAGTTGAAACCCGTGCCTTCGTATAAAAATATGTTTTTCCTCTGCAAATAAGCTGAGAACTTGTTTACTGATTATTATTTTTTTAATTAAAAACTTTGTGTGAAAAATGCTAAAGCGCTCAAACCACACGGAGCGTCCGCCATTTTGAGAACCGAAAAACAGGAACGAGAGACGGCGCATGTCACGCTGAGGGGCCTCCCTCCCAGTTTACCATCCATTCTTTGGTTCAGATGAACTTTTACTGCCATTCAGTGGTAAAAAAAATGTACTAGACACAAAAATTTACCTTAAATGTGACAATAATTACTAATTATTGTCACATTTCAAACAATATTATCGTTTATCGCAATAATTTCTGAGACGATTAATCGCCCAGCAAAATGTGTTATCGTGACAGGCCTAACTTCAAACTCACATTCTTCATCACCGGACACACTATTTTTCACCCCAGCTTCAAGGTCAAGGTCACAAGTCAAGGTCAAAGGTTATACAAGGTCTTTCCGTGTACAGACCATTGCTATAGATTGCTGTATAATAGTTTATTGGCGGGCGTATAATGTGCCGTATGGATATTCTTGTTGATATTTTCAGAAAATAATCAGCATTTAAAACTTATAAACCTTTGGAGTCACCATGATTCAAGATGGCTGCAACAGCTGATTCAGTAACGACATAAAAAGGGTTATAACAGTGAATTTTACAGATGTCCAGTTAAATATGGTGGAGAAGTAGCTGAGAGTCATCCCTGACACACGCTCTGAGAGCTAACAGAGCCCTCGGTTCTTTGTGTCAGCCCGTCTGCATCACGGTGGAGCAGTGGTTAGAGCTGTTGCCTCACAGCACAAAGGTTTCAGATTCAGAACCGCAGTCAGTGGGTGGGAGGCACCTCATGTTCTGGTTATAAACGGACTTTTTAGAAATAAAACGAATGTTATGTTAAAAAATCAACACATCATTCATGTTTGATGCATTTGTTGTCAACTTCTGTCTGAATGTCTCCGTTTTAGCTCTTATCTTTTAAAAGTTATCTTTAAAGCTTTGTGATTGATCATCTGATTGACTTTAAATATGAAAACAGAGGCAACAGGTCTTATTTTATTTAAGATGTGCCCAAACAAAGATTAGCTGCACATGATTACATAATGATGCGGAGTGAATCCAGACTATAAACAGGATGTTTACGGAAACTTGGCAGTTCTGTGAGAAGCTGTTTAAAAACTAATTATCCTGCTTACCAAGAACATCAAAACCCAGAATGCAGCACAGTGCTGCTTCAGTTGTCAGTACATGTGAGTATGCTAAAGTCATGACTGATACAGTTCACGCTTCACGCGAGAACATTTAAAGCCTTTTAGCAGCACGCACGATGAAACACGTAACCCGGACAGGAAGCTGGTTATTTGTCTTATGGCTGCTGTCCAGATGTGGAGGGAGATGTTTGTTTGGAAGCATCAGAACAGTTTTATTCCTTTCTCGCCCCGTTACCATTGAGCAGTTTACTGAAAAACGAGGATTTTAATCTTCATAAAGAACAACAAAACTGTAAACAACAAAACTCACAGGGCCATAGTGCAACCCCACCCCCGAATTCTGACTTTTTTCAAAAAATTTGGTCTTTAAATTCATAATTCTGAATGAAAGGTTTGTTTTGAAAATAAAGTTGCAACATCAAAATCCAAGATGGCCACCACCATACATACGGTATATATATATATATA